GACAAGCAGGCTTCCTACCGAGCAGGGAGACCAATGCGGGGCTCGATCCCAGGACCCTGGGATCATGACCTGAGCCAAAGGCAGACGCTTAACGACTGAGCCACCGAGGCACCCCTTTGTGATAATGATTAATGAAAAAAGCCTTAATTTTTTATCAGTATAATTTACATTTAGTAAAGTGTGTACAGTGTACTAATCTTAAGTGTACAACTCAACTAATTTTTCATGTATGTATTCATATATTAGCCTTTACCCATTTCCCACACAACCAGGAGTTTCCCCCATTCATCTTTCCAGGTAACACCAATCCCCTCCTCTCCCTGAGATAAACATTATTCTCACTTGTATCACTTATTCATATGCTTAAAAAACTATATTATGATCAAGACCAAATATCACCGTTGGTCAAGTAAAACACTGTGACATGGCAAAAATTTGAAGAACTGACTTAAGATACAGACTACTACCCAATTCCCAAATAACTCCTGAAGGGCCTTTGATGAAAGATAAAAATTTAGAGTTAAGAAACTCAATGCCGAAATTGGATAAATTCAAAGAAAGCCACACCCAAACTACTGAAAAACAAAGATAAAAATAACAAAGATAAATAAAGGCTCATGTAACACACATGCATACTCCATTTAGCATTTATTGCTATGGTAATCACAAAAGATTTTCAATGACTGAAAGCTGAAGAAACAGCAAGCAATGTGCTTGTAGGAAAAATATTATAAAGTGTTAGCAAGACAGATATTTTCTGAGAATGGGGCATTGGTGACCTGACATGTCTTTGAAGCCAAAATTTGATCCTTATACCCTACATGCTGTACTTCTCAGCAAAAAGAAGGAAGATGGAAAGGAAAACAAAGAATGTGGTGAAGTGCACAGTCTGGTTGGAAGTCAACCACTTGGTGCTTAATTCTTTTTTTTTTTTTTTTAAATACCGGAACCTTCAGCAATATTAGGTTGAAACTTCACTGCCTTTTATGATATGGAATGAACCTCAGTTCCTCAGGGTGCCAGCCAAATGCTTCTGAAGAAGAGGAAGTCATAGGTAAGTTTGTCCCATGTAACTAGTTATTTCAGGATATAATCAAGAAGCATCTGTCTGCACTTTAAGATGCAAAAGCACCATGAACTGTGAGAGGCTTTCCCATCAAGGCAAAGGCAAGAATGTTCCTTTGAGTCAAATACTTGTTTGTGTTCCAGTGGGTAGCTCAGTTTTGTCATAGGTTTTTTGTTTGTTTGTTTTATTTTGTTTCCTTTAAGGTATTAGGATTCTACGAAGTTGAATCAGGTACACAGTGGCAAGTTCCCAGAATAGGAGAGGAAATTGTTTCAGCTAACTCTGCCTCTGAGGCAGTTTTTACTGAAGAACAGCCATTAATTAATCTTGGGACAATAAAACCCTTTTCCTGTCCTATCTCCAGTTAATAATGCATGACTAAAAGTTATGTTCTAACTGTAAATCAGGGCAAACAAAAACATACCACAAACTTGTTTTCCTCTCAAGTCCAATAGCTTGATATGTATGTTGTTTTAATATTCCCACTTGGGGCTACACATCTAATGTTATCTTTGAAAATGTGCTAACAAGCCTGAAAGTACTAGGGCTTTTTAATACATTTTTATTACAACAGAGGATTTTGAAAAATGAAATCTGATGCTTCTTAGTCAGAACATAATGTGAAAGCAAAATAAGAAATAAGAATATGGCAATAGAATTTATGACACATGGTGGAATTGTCTTAATTCATTATCTCTCTTTTATGATATGACTACTTTTATGTTGCTAAGATATTTTAATAAGTTTTTTTTTTCTCCAATGGGTTTTATGTGGTCAAATGGAACTCTAGGAAGGGGGGCTTAGATGACCCAAAAATAATGTGTGAAGACCTCTGGCATTGCTTAAAAAAAACCTAAGACTTTAGGAATAATATTGTGTAAAGCTCTAAAATATCTTCTCTAGAATTTTAGAACTCTGGGGAGAATTGGTGAGCTGGAAATTAACTCATCATTCAGATGAGTAATAGTCTGGTTCAAACAAATGGGCTTCTTTTAAAATATTTGCATTAAAAATTGCTGGGAATTATGAGTTATAAATTCATAAATTTACTGTAACAAAAATCATGAGGCCATACTGAATACTCTACTCCAGGGCAGTCCAGTTAAACTACTAAATGCCTTTGTAAATTGGATAAATTACTGAATTCCATTGAGACCTGTTTCTACACAGTAAAATGCAAAGATTGAATTAGACCTGTGTTTTTAAAAACTTAACCCAAGGGTCCACTAGGGTTTTATAGACAGGTATCTGGGGATTTTGTGAGGAGAAAACTGGTGTGGTACTAGAATCTAAATTGAATAGCCAACTGCCATAATGGAAGTTAATGTAATTTGTGCAGATCTCATGCCTCCAAAGATGCTAGGATGAACAACAACAGCAACAAAACCTTCTGATAGATCTAATGGTTTTCTCCTTACCTTAGGAAAGAGACATTCATCAGAAAGCTAGAGAAAGTGCACCTTAGTTAAACTGAGGATAAATCAGATTGTTTATCCTAAGCCTAGTCATCATCAGAGATGACATCAGGATGGAAAGCACTATGGGTAACTCTTGCGATTGTTTCCCTGGGTGGGGGGCTTCTATGTATCCAAATAAGGGAAGCATTTAGCAGTAACTGAGGCCTACACTGTGGTATATGATATTTCAGGAAATTCCAGGGAATGGTATATGATATTTCAGGAAATTCCAGGGAATAATTGGGCAGGATTGGAAATATTGGGGCAATAATCTGCATGGAAAGATAGCAATGGTAGCAGGAATTCAATCTGCCAGAAATAAAGAGAGATGCAAACTCCAATTGTACTGATTTAAACAAGCACTTCCATTAACAAAAATGGCAGTCGATCATTTGTTATTTTACAAGAGTTTTCCCAAAGATGGAAGTAAAGTGTTTTTTCTTGCAGAAATCTTATATTAGTATATCATTCTGCTTTGACTTATAACAGAGGAATGAGTTTGGTAACTGAAAGAGCTTGTCGATCTAACAAAATTTAAAATTAGCTGTGTTTCCACATAACAATTTTATTTTTTATTTTTTTAAAATTAAAAGGAAAACAATTCTCTATTGTAAGTGGGCTAGTTAAGTTGATATGTGATATTGTTCTTTGTATCATCTGCCATATGTTTATAGGGCAAAAATCAGATTGCTGCATTCACAATATAAATGTACAAGTATCTTCCATTATTATATGAATCACTGTGTAATAACTAATAATTATTGTGATAATTAATTTTATGTGTCAACTTGACTGGATTAGGGGATGCCCAGATATCTGGTTAAACATTATTTCTGGGTGTGTCTGTGACGGTGATTCCAGAAGAGATTGGCATTTGAGTTGGTGGACTGAGTAAAGGGTCTGTCTTCCACAATATGGGTGGGCTGTGTCCAGTGCACTGAGGGCCTGAATAGAACAAAAATGTGGAGGAAGGAAAGATTCTCTCTATCCCCCATGACTTCTTAGACATTGATCATCTCCTGCCCTTGGCATTCCTGGTTCTCAGGACTTTAGACTCAATCTAGAAACTATACCATTGCCTTTCCAGCTATCAGGCCTTCTATCTACACCATTGGCCTTACTGGGTCTCCAGCTTGCAGAATGCAGATTATGAACTCCTCAGCCTCCATAATTTTTTGAGCCAATACCTAATAGTAAGTCTCTTTATATATATATTATTTGTTTCTCTTTCTTTAGAGAACCCTGACTAATACACTTATCATCAATAAACACAAAATAAACATTGCATATATATAAATTATCGTAATTATAAGTGGTTATGAATTATCAGCCAGTTGTTTGGCCAGTTATTTTTGAGCAAGTGTTTTCTATTGTTGTTATGGTAATTTTTGTCAGTACAAAAATTACTGACTGTTAAATTTTGATGAGTTTATCATGTTCATATTATTTTTAGTTGTTACACATTTTAAAATAATTTCTAAGCTATTACATATTGCTTTACCCACGTGTCAGGATAAAAAGATAAGTTTTAGAAAACAAAATGGAAAGCTATCAGAGAAGTAAATGAAAGAAAATATTTTGCATTATTTGAATGCATTTTTGAAGAAGTAAATAGAATGCTATAAAAAGATTTCAGAGCTATTAGTCTTATTATACTGTGGCACTAATATGTCACTGATGAAGAAGGATGTGAATTTAGTTTCTACCTCCATGTCAACCATAAGTGATAAATTTCAGGAAAAACTGGGATAAAATATACTTGAAGAACCCATTAAACAAAATATATTTTCTGAAGATTTGGATACTTGATAATGTAATTTGAATGTTAAGCAATGGAAAAAATTTAAATTACCAAATGACAGAACAGATTTCAGAAGCATTAATGAGTTCTTCTAAATTGCTAAAAATATACCAGATCCTTGTTACTTCATTACAAACCAAAGGATTCTATATATATATATTTTTTTTTCTATTTTACAAATTAGGCAGGAATGGAAAATATTTAACTTAAGAATGAGATGGGACAAAACATAGGCAGCATTTATCAAATGGTCTTGGCAAACATGAAAAGAGTGAAAAGAATGTTAAGTATTCTAAATTGAAATCCAACAAACTATTGAAGCTTCCTAAATAGAGAGTAAATTAGCATAAGAAGAATATTGGCAAAGTTTCATTGATCAAATTTTATACAGTTAGTTTTTGCCAAGGCAATGACTGGTGTTTAGAGGACAATCCAAGAAGCTCTATGATATATCATAGATTTTCTTCTGTTGAAGAAAGTCTATCAAAATGAACATTTCAGTTCTTTTATCTAGTAAAATTGTCCCCCTTTACCACAGTTTCACTTTCAGTGGTTTCAGTTACTGGCAATCAGCTGTAGGTCCAGAGGCAGATGACCCTCCTTCTGACATATGGTCAGGAGGTTAGCAATAGCCTAACATTATGACACAATACCTACATCATTTGCCTCACTTCATCCCATCATGCAGACATTTTATCATCTTACAGCATCTCAAGAAGAAAGGTGAGTACAGTACAATAAGATGTTTTGAGAGAGAGACCACAGTACATAAATTTTATTACTATCCTGGTTTCATGCATCCACTTGGGCTCTTGGAGTGTATCCCTTGTGGATAAGATGGCACTATTGTAATCATAGAACAATATTCTTGGAAGATTACTTAAAGGAAAAAGAAACCTTAATCTAGACATAAAAATATAATTTGAGGTGTTACAGTTATAACAATACTATAAATATAATTGAAAAAGAGAATGGACAGAAGATAATCAAAATGGTTAAAGATATTTTACATTTCTTATTCTGTTCATTACCTAAATTTGGTGGTAAACAATGAGGTAAAAATATTGATTCATTCTGATATATTATAAGAATTTTTCAGTGTGTGTTGGTGGGAATGCAAGTTGGTGCAACCACTCTGGAAAACAGTATGGAGGTTCCTCAAAAAGTTGAAAATAGAGCTACCCTACGACCCAGCAATTGCACTACTGGGTATTTACCCCAAAGATACAAATGTAGGGATCCGAAGGGGTACATGCACCCCAATGTTTATAGCAGCAATGTCCACAATAGCCAAACTATGGAAAGAGCCAAGATGTCCATCAACAGATGGATTGATAAAGAAGATGTGGTACACACACACACACACACGCACACACACACACACACACAGGAATATTATGCAGCCATCAAAAAATGAAATCTTGCCATTTGCAATGACATGGATAAAACTAGAGGGTATTATGCTAAGTGAAATATGTCAATCAGAGAAAGACAAGTATCATATGATCTCACTGATATGAGGAATTTGAGAAACACGACAGAGGATCATAGGGGAAGAGAGGGAAAAATGAAACAAGACAAAACCAGAGAGGGAGACAAACCATAAGAGACTCTTAATCTCAGGAAACAAACTGAGGGTTGCTGGAGTGAAGGGGGTTCAGGGATGGGGAGGCTGGGTGATGGACACTGGGGAGGGTATGTGCTATGGTGAGTGCTGTGAATTGTGTAAGACTGATGAATCACAGACCTGTACCCCTGAAACAAATAATACATTATATGTTAATAAAAAAAAGAATTTTTCAGTGGGAGTAAATGTTGAAAGATACTAAAAATTCATTTACCTGCATAAATTTGCAACCATTGTCACAAAGGCAATGGGAAAGTTGAATTGGTGCTTTTGTGCCACGGAATACACATTAGAGGATTCTATTCTAATGCTCTTTTAGAAATTATTGATGTATTAATAAAGATCTAGATTCTGTGATGAAATACAAAGATATACTTTAAAAATATATACTTTTAGAATTTATTTGCTCTTTACTAATGATATTTTAAGCAAAATTGATGTTATAGGCAAAATGATACATGAATAAAAGTCAGTGTATAATAGTTGCTGAAATGATTGAAGAGATTATGAAATTCTTTGAAGAATACAAATTGTTATGTTCATGAAAATATTATTGATGCCAAACAAATTACAGACTATAGTAATGACACCAATCTCTCTAATTCAAAACCACGGTAGAAAAAGAATAAAGAAGACTCATTTTGAGTGTGAACCTCACATCAGCACATCTATGATTCAAACATAATCTCAAAATCAATTTTTTCTCATGTCAAGTGAAATTTCTTCCTTACAAAAGATCTACTCTGTTGAAAGAATTAGATTTTATACATTTAACATGGCATGTATATTTACCAATGAAATTGACTGATGGACATAGTAAGAAATGTAGTATTTATAAAGCCTCTATTCTTGAAGAACCAAAATGCTTAAATTTTATAAAACTTAATGCAGCTTTCATTATAGTTTTGCAATATATTTGGACACAAATTTTCTAGACAACAAAAAATATGTTAAAAATTACTTAAATTTCACTCTGTCACATGACTCAAATCCTTTTTTTAAATAGAAAACAAATATTGGAGCAAGTATGCTTGGAAATTGTAATAAGCATTTATTTCCACGAAAACAAGGAACATAACTCTTTTACAAGAAATTATTATATCCTAAGTGAACTTAAACTTTTAATAATTATAAATTCAAATTTGTTATATTATTTTCAAATTTTGATTTATAGAATTTGTACAGAATGACTGTATGTTTCTTATCATTGTTCTTATTTAAAAATATATACTTTCACTCCTTTCTTCAACTTGAAGAAGGTGTGAGGGCTTTTTGTTTTGTTTTGTTTTTTTAATTTCCTCAAAGCCAGTCAGCTCCAAATTCTCCCCTTTATATTTCAAAAGCCTTCGCTGGGGGACTAGGATCATAGAATTTTTTTTTTAAAGTCATAGTCAGGATAGAAGATAGGATGTTAGGTAAGTTTCCATGAAATAAAGGGATGAAGGAGAAAGTGCTGTGCTTTGTAAATGGGGCCAGAGGAAGGGTGACTAGGAAAACTTTGCCTGAGACCAGCATGGAAATGAGCAGGGAGAGGGGAGTTGCCTTAGAAGCAGGAAATAGAGTATTTGATTTTTAAGATGTACTGTGTATTTCCCAAACAACAACAGCAAAAAATGTTAAAAAACACTGTTTTAAAACTGATATAAACTGAGGAAGTGTTAGTACCAAATTGAAGGTTCCATCACTCTGCCTCCTTTCTTCTCGCCACTGAGCAGGAATGAGGAATCCGGATTAGAGACTGGATAAATTTCTGGTAAAAACACAAATTACATATTTGAACCATCCAAATTGTAGTGTGTAAATTTAAACTCATGCTGCATTAACATTTATTTAACACCTATTATGCTTTAAAGATGCTCTAATTCTTTTATATCTATTCAATTAATGTTAATAAAAATTTATGAAGTAGGCTTAAAGAGATTAAGCAAATGCCCAAGTCACAGAGAAATACTTGCCCTGCCAAACATTTTGCTCTTTGGACTTTACATATAAAAAGAATTATAATTGTTTCTGGAGAAAGAAAAACATATGAAAGTGAAGGAGGGAAAGAAAAAGAGGTCCAGGCAGAGAGAGGGAGGGAGGGAAGGAAGGAAGAAAGGACGGAAGAGAGGAGGGAAGCAAGAAGGAAGGAAGGAAATGATCCCACTACTTGGGTTTAGAAGTATAAATATTAATGAGAAAGATGTGAAGATATCATTGGAACTTCTCAAATTACTGTCCACTCAAGCAAAGCAAATGATAACTGGAAAGGAAGAAAAAGGAGAAGACATCCCCAAAAGATAAAGAGATTGTAAGGGAGTGATTGGATTCTAAAAGTGAGCTTTGTATTTCTTTTGGTCTATGATTAGATTCTATTATATGAGAGAACTTATAGAAGGTATATTAGAGAGAGGCTTTTAAGAATTATAAAGACTAAGATAAATGCCACAAAAAGAGGTTGGATATTGTAATTCCAATTTTCACCATGGTAATATGGGTCTAGAGAGAATAGCATTATCAGATGGATTTATCACAGATTGATGGTGTGCAAACAGTGATGATGGATATCTTCATTTTAAACTGGAAGAAAACACTTAACACAGAAACAACGAGTTTGTCTCAGCACTGACAATGGTCTACATTTTATACCAGTGACTTATATGGGAGGACATGGGACATGTTTGAATTTGCAAATTACACAAAACTGAGAGATAAGTAGAGTATTGCCTGGTAAAAAGTAGAGGGAAGTTGATGTCAATATGTTGCTGTGATAAATATAGAAAGATAAAATATAAACCATTCTGTAGTCTATTTAAAAAAAAACAAACAGAAAACTTTCCAAGTATGAGAGCTACGAAGCTTAGACCAGATGACCTAAATCTCAATATGAATTGTTACTGTAATGTGGCTATTGGTAAATCTACTTTGAGCTTAGACTTTATTAAAAAAGGTACATTACCTTAAAAGAGGAAATACCATGACTAGTTGTGTATACTACTCTTTCAAAGAGACAGAGGAAAACAAGCAAAGAGTAGATTTGGAGAGAGTGACTAGTCTAGAGTTATAGAGAATTGCAGGCTCTTAAGAAGCCAAAGCCAGGTATCATGTTACATTGCCTTCTATTATTATTTAAAAGCCTATGTGGTGAAAAGCCAACACACTCAGTAGGAGCTCAACTTCTGTGGGAATAGTGTTAGTGGATAGAAATTGCAGAGCACCTGATTTTTTACTTAATATAAGGCAGTATTCCTCACAATCACAATTACCTGAATGAGCCATTTCAGGAGGTATTGGTTTCCCATCACTGGAGATCTTCAAATAGAAGTTTAAGACCAGCTGGGGAAGTGTATTTAGTATTTGTCACTTGTTCCCAAAGCAGTGTTTGGCACACATTACCCACCAACAAATTCTTATTGAATGAATGATTGAATAGAAAGAAGTTACTTATAACTAAAATCTATGGAGTCCTCATTATTGGTCAGGCAGATTAATTTTTCAAAACTTTATAGGAAGGGGCAGTTACTATTTAATTTCTGCAGCTCAGAGAAATGAAGGTACCACAGGGAAAGAAAAGGGGAGTGGAGGAGGCAGAGTTCTAAAATTGTGCTGTATAAGTCTCCTGAGCCTGTGTCAAGTTTCAGAATGTGGTTAACTTAAATAATCTGTAAGGTTCTTTCACCCAACACTCCCTGTTATTAATCAAACAAGGAGGCCATTAGACTGAAGTGGTTCTAATACCTTAGCAGCCTTTGTAAGCAAACCCAAACCTAAGCCTATAAATGCCTCAAGGTTAAGAAATCAAAACACAACAACCAATCACAGCCAACTAGACTTTTCCAAACAAGACTAATGCTTAAAACTATAGCCAAACAGTTCCTTGCTTTGCTTTTTCCTTTCCTCTGTGAAAGTCTCTCCCTTCACTTTTGTCAGTGGGGTGCTCCAACCACTTCCTGTTTGGTACTGCCTGATTGGAAATGGTTTCCGCTCAGATAAATTCTTGAAACTTCTAATATACTTACTTTATCTTTTAACGATGCCCATAGGAAGGGCTTGAATTTACCAACACTTACTACATTAGATCCAATTTGTTTACTCTATTTGTTAACATTAAAATGGATGTAGGGATTTGGTCTCTGAGACAATTAAATATGTTATGGGAATTTTAATTAATTCGCAGGAAAAAGCACAGGAAGGCAACCCTGCAGGCTAGCACAGTGCGTGAGTTCGAGTAGCTGGAGGCCAGGGTGGCTCTGTGCTTTATTATTTTGGATGCCTAGAAGTGTACAGAGGGGGTGGAAGGTGGAGCCAATGACAGATCGCACTATTTTGCAGTTTTGCCTGGTTTAAACTGCTGGTTACATTTTGAGGATTAATGCCGAGAGTCAGCTCTTGAGGCCAGATTTAAAACCTTACTAATATCTATATCCTCTGGGCCTTGCACAATGACTTTCAGCATTCAGCATTGCACAAAGAATATGGTCAAGACAGAATAAATATGTGGCGAATACCATTGTCTCTGGGGCAACTGTAACAGGGCCAGTATTAATCGGTAACTTGCCAGTAACAAGGCCTTGCTTGTTATGGTAATTCTAAAATTTACTAGCTTTTCTTTAAGTCTTACCTCAAGTTTTGTTCTGGAAAGTATTGCATGACCTACTTCTATAGCTACCTTTGTTATCTTTTAAATTATTTATCACTCTGTGTGTGCCTTTTATAACACCACTGTGGCAGATTCTAATGATCTGTTTAATTAAATGCATGTTCCTCCTCCTTTCTCTGCCAGTTCCTTGACTCTGAATTCCTTGAGGATGTGGTAACCATGCTACTCATCTACATTACCCTCAATGCCTAGTAAAGTGCTTAGCAGGTAATTAATGCTGTGAAAGCAAAAATTACATCCAGTGAGTCAAACAGGCAAGAAGACTTTATTTGAAGCTATTGCAATAGAAGAGAAGCCAAACTTCAGTCTGAGCTCAACTCTGCTGAAACAAAAGTTTGGAGAGCTCTTAAGAGCTGGCTGGAGGGATTGCAGGTAAAGTTTCTCCTGTCTTCATGACAGGAAGTGGTTTTATAGCTTAGAGCTAGGTGCCTGCCTAAGTAAGGCTCCTACCCTCCCACAAAAACTAGGAAACAGGGTTGCTATCTTCCTTGGTGATTACATTTCAAAGGGATGTGTCCTGGGTTCTTGAGAAAGACATTCCTGGGTTGTAAAATTAGCAAGGTGCTTTTAAAATATTTCAAAGTTTAGAGAAAATATTTATAGCTGCAAACTTTCTGAAGTAAATTCTGTAAGTAAAGGGAGTTCAAGGGTCTAGTCAGCAAGAAGCTTGTCTAAAGTTTAGTCAAGCTGAGGGAACATGAAGGCCACCTTGGTTTGTGCTCAGTGAAAGTTTGCTGCATGAATGAACAAATGAATAATAAACTTTATTTATAAATATAAACTTTATAATTTATTTCGTAGGATCTTAATTTAAATGTGTCAGCTTATAAGTAATATTTTAAAAAGTAATATAAACTAAAGCCAATTAAAATAAGCCTTCTTTTATCTCTGTTGATTACTTGATAACTTCATTGTGCAGAAAATGCCACACCCCGCAAGATAACGCATGGTGAATATGCATGATGTTTTAAAAAATTAAAAAGGCTCCAGAAACTTTTCAGCTGGAAGCATATCTTATAAATCAATTCCTGAAGTGCAGTACATAATGACATATTAAATGACTTAAAAAAAATATTTCTTCAGAAGCTGTTGTATTTTCAACATTTTTGTTTATTCTCAAGTCAAAAGCCTTACATCAGACTCTGAAACATGATGTATAAACTCTCTGTGGTAGCTGTGGCTATAAAATAGGAATAAAAATGCTTTCTCTTCCTACCTTGATGGGTTGTTTATGAGGAGTAAATGAGAATATAAAAGCACTTTAGAACGATAAAAATAACTGTGGAAATGCAAGGAATTATTGAAATGAATAATGAACATATAAAGTCAATTTTGAAGGTATTTTTATTTTCTTTAACAATAATATCTAAAAATGTGATAAGATATGGAGACTCAGGCCATCTCCTAAGGCATGGAAAAAAACATTTGGTAACCATTACCTTAAGATAATTGGTAAGTCTGAGTTAGTAATATGTGTAAATATTGGATTTTTAACAATAACTACAGTTAAAAACACTTCAAATATACTGATTAATAGTCTCCCAAACTTTGATGATTTCTAAAAGAGTAATTATCAAGGAGATAGTGTTGAAAGCTGGTTAAGATTACAGACTTTATTTGGATTCAAGCAGTCTCTGTTCAAACCCCAGGGCTTCCACATCCCGAATCTATAATCTTGAACAAGTTATATGAACTCTTTAAGCCTCTGGTTTGTCATCTGTGGAAAAGGAAAAATATCTACTTCCTATGACTCTGAGGATCAAATAGGATGGACTATGTTAGGCTTTTGGCATAGTGATTAACTCATAGGAAGCTCTCACAAGTTGTAGAAAATATACAGACATACATACAAGCACGCTTATGCATAATTTGTTGTTATATATTCCTAACCCGTGTAGCTTAACTTTAGTTTTATGTCATTGGAACTTCCAGCGGTCTTAAAATAGTTCATTTTTTAAAAGTTAAAATGGTAGTATTTTTCTTATAATCCTTATCATACAGTTATTTGACATTTAAATCTTTTCTGTTTTTGTAGAATTTTCTTTTAGTGAAGACATTTCTGTAAGTTCCATATAATATATCCTTAATTTTAAGTTGCTCTTGAAATAAAGGCATTTTATCAAACCATATTTGGAGAATGTATCACAGATACTGTAGTACAGAAGCAATAATGCTGAATTGGAGTTTTTGAGACTTAGGTTTTTGGGAAAGTCACTCATTTCCTAGAATCCCAGTTTACTGATCTATAACCATTTAGATAATTAAAACCACCTGAAAGGATTATTGTAAAGATCAAAAGAGGTAATGCATTTAAAAACACTTTGCAGAAGTTGAGAACTTGTTTGAGCCATCCCACAGAAAAAGGATGGGCCCTCATCCAATTTGGTTTGGTTGTCAAGACTGATACCAAGAGGGTATGAAATGGTTTATGTCTCACCTAATGAGGTTTCCTGAGGAAAGCAGAACAGACTCTCTGGCTGAAATGGCTTGAGAAAGCAGGAAAAAGAGACATGGGGTTTTTATGATGATTAGGGACTGGGCTAGGGTGAGGGTCCCATGGCACCAAATGTAAGAACGCCTAGTTTTATTTCTTATTAGCTCATCTAGATGAGGGGCAGTAGGGGGAGGAGGAGAGGTAGGTCTTAAAAACTATCAGCAACCAAACTTCAAAAATAGAGCCAAACTTTGTCACAGTACAAATTATGGATTTTTAAAAAAATTTTTTGGTAAAGATTTAATATATTTATTTGAAAGAGAGAGAGTACAGGAGTTGGTGGGGGGAGGAGCCGAGGGAGAGGCAGACTCCGCACTGGCCAGGGAGCCGGATATGGGACTCAATCCCAGGACCCGGAGATCATGACCTGAGCTGAAGGCAGATGCTTAACCGATAGGCGCCCTGGATTTTATTTTTAAACTGTGTGCCAGTATGGTGGTGTTGGTTGCTGTCCATCAGCGTCTTCTTTCCTCTTCTTTATTGATACAACATATCTCCCACAATAGAGGCAGAAACTGAAACCTACAAATGGGACCTGAGAGAAAGTGTGCTGGAGGGCTATTAGGAATGATTATGTTCTCCAAAACAAGAGTGCATAGGAGTCAAATGCTTCGTTTCTTTATCATCAGGATTTTTTTGTGATTCAAAGCTATAATTGGATAGTAGATTTTAGCATTATTTAGGAACAATTCAGCATGAATCCAAAATATCCAAAGTGTTCCAAAAGGTCTAACCTGAGGAACTTAAGATAAAGGTAAGTAAATGAAGACAAATATGTTTCTTTGTGATATCAACTCATTTTAATAACAGTGGCTACCTTCTGGTAGTCAAAAGGTCTAATTGTCAATAATAAAGTACTTTGATTAATAAAGATGCAATCAATTTCTAGCCACTTAATAAATGACTTTGTTGACTAGATACAAAATTTCAAATTATGGAGTCTGTGTGTAAAGAATTCTTGTCTGTGATCAGTTTAGATACCCTGATTTAAAGTGACTCCTTTCTTTAGGAGTCAGCATTTTAAAAGGAGACTGTAGTAGACAGAATAAAATGGCTCCCTAAAGATGCCATGCCAAAAACCCAGAACCTATGAATATGTTACATTATGTGGCAAAACAGACTTTATGGTCAGGGAAAGAGAGTTTTGGGTGGGAAGTCTTGCATTCTTCAAGGTGTTAACACAGATTTGGCTGTCTAATCTTCATACCCATCATCTTAACCTTGAAGCCTTGGGCAAAAATAATTGTATATAACTGAGTTAATGTTTTTTTCCTGCTGCAAGTCTTAATGAGGTGTCATTGTGGAGATATAACTATTGAATATCTGACAGTTTTCCAACCAAATATTGTTGTCTACATTCTCAAGACCCTATTGCAGCAGTTATAGCTTATTAATGATAGAAGATAACATTCACCCATCTTTTCCATGGACTCTGAAATTCTTTATACAACAGCATGCATAATTCTTATGAAATTATCTTAATGTATTGAGGAGAAAAGTATTATTTTCCTTTTTGCTTAGAGCCCAGGAAAGTAAAAGCTGTAGATTCTCCTTTGTTCTTAAATCTAACATCAGCTTTTGTTTATTTTTTAATGTTGGTTTATTAGAACTATACAAGTGATGAGTAAAAATTTTCAATGAAGTTTTTTTTTAATTTTCAAGTATTCTTTCTATTTCAGAATTCTCTTTTTTTCCTTCCACCTTCCCTATTTTCTCTGTTCTCTGTGTTACATTTGAAGGAGAAATATTGAAAGCTGAAAGGCTGTTTTAATTGTTGGTGGATGTAGCTTCTAGTGGGTATCCTTTGGCAATACCACTATGTAAGGCTAATAAAAATGATAACGCATCATCATATATCTTAAGAGTATATGTCTGATTGCTCCATCCAATCACTTGCTAAAGGACCTCTAATTCAGACACTACGAGGAAAAATAAAGAAATCCAAATTTTTCTTTTCTTAATTCTCCATTTCTTAATCACATGGCAACATTTCTGCAGTAAATGTTTGGAAAATTGTATTTGTGTTCTCATATAAACAAATAGGAAACAAGCCTGTCTCACTTTTTCCTGAGAAATGGTCCCTGTCCCAGAATCCCTTTCAAAGCATGTATTGATCATTTTATGGTTATGTAGGCAGCCATGCATAGCTGAAACATGATCATATTAAGCCTGTCTCTTAGATACACAGTTTTTGCCAGTAAATTGCAATTCTGAAACCACATCTATAAGTTACTGTATATATCTTAGAATACCATAAAATCTGACATCTCGTTTCATCATTTTTGGTTACTTATTCCTTGCTTTATAAACCTTATCATTAACAATGAGATGAAGAAATCAGCAGATGATTTTCCCTACAAAACCCATAAATTTTATGAGCTTTGTTTTCCCAGATATATTCTGAGAGAATTTATGCCAAAATGACAAACTTGGCAAGTCCAGGTTATTTCAAAGATATACGTAGAGGAAAACTTTCCAATATTTTACTATTGAGTGATAACTCTGCACTCCTTGTGAACTTTAAATTCCTATTACTGTTAATTGCCTGTGTCCTGTGTATGAATCAAAGTGTCAGCACTATATTGGTATCTTTAAATTCAGAAAATGCTGCATACTTTTAGAAGCCATATTTCCTCATCTTCACCTTCTAGGGAGATTTTTATATTTTGATTCCAGTGCATACCATAAGAAACCATTTTGGTATATCTGGATAAAATATACCAATGTAAGTGGTGGGAAATGACTCCAGGTAGCTCATTTAATAATATCATTCATGGCATATCTTAATTATGCAGTTTGCATGAGATTAGCATATTGCTACATAACATCTGTTTTAAGTGAACACAAAATCTGAGTAAACAAAGACCTGTTGTAACCA